ACAGTCAAAAAAGTGGCATCATCTAGCGAGGCAGCAAAGGTGACCCCTGTACATCTCTAAGCATGGGTTTCTTTCATCTGTTCTGGAAACCATAACCCATCCCTGATCCCCGCAAGGCTGGTACAGGGAAACCCAGCTCATAAAGATGGTCTACATTGAGGAACAGAAAGCAACGCATACACTCAGCACCATATTGTAGGGTGCACAGCATAGGACCACAGAGATGGCGTGATGCTAAACAAAACACCCCCCACCCCTCTACCCCACCAATCCGACGCAACATGCCACGCCGTGCCATTCGAAAAGCAATAAAAAGAAGCCCGCATACAATGCAACACCCTCATAGCAAGGCTCCCAGCTCTAGACCAGTCAGGATTTAAGTGAGCAAATAAAAGCAAGCAGTCCTGGAGGATTTTCCAAATCCCAAAGCCTGAACAGATTGCTGCCAAGCAATGACAGCACAAATCCTCTTTGGCTAATCAAGGCCCTTTCTATTAGCAATGACCGCTCAGGGCCGTCCATCCATCCCAAGTTACAGATCAACATCCTTTTTTTTTTTTCTCTCTCTCTCTAAGATGTTGTATAAAAACAAATCCTTTTTTTGTTTCAAGAGATGTTTAAAAACACATTTTGTTTATTCCAGTAGATGTTGTGTAAAAACACACCCTCCTATACAGTGCTGGTGAGGCCGCCCCTGCACACTGATCTGCATTCAAGGCATGCATCTACTAACTCCAGCCAACCTGTTTACTCCCACCGTGCCAGTCCAATGGAAAATGATGCTGGAATGACTGCTACTACACAATGACAGTACATCTACATCCTCTGGATCAGTACTCCCCCATCTCCCTCAGTACCCCCCTCCTCTAGATCGGTACCCCCACCTCCATCAGCACCCCACCTTCTCCATCCTCCAGATTGGTACCTCCATCCTCTAGATCAGTACCCCATCTCCATCCTGTAGATCAATACCCCCATCACCATCCTCTAGATTGGTACCCCCATCTTCTAGCTCAGTACTCCCCATCAATGATTACCAGCTCTCCTCGTCTTCACTGCCATAGCCATCCTCCAGGTCCAGGATGTCCACTTCATCCAGGACGGTGGTGACCCCTGAATGTTCAGCTAGTGGCCCCTCTGTGGCACTGAGACAGGCCAGCGGCTGCCTGCTGTTGAAGTATCCCAGGCTCCCGCAGAGCAGAGTGGGCACCGGGCTGGGCAGGCAGAGTCCGTTGGGTCGGGACAAACATGTGCCCGCCTGATGCATTGCAGGAGGGGTAGGTGGCAGCAGCAGGTGCGGGCTGGCGGTACAGTTGCTGACGGCGCTGGCTCGGTTCCGAAGCTGCTCGTTCTGCTTTTCCAGCTTCCTTACCAGTTCCTGCAGCTTCTTCACCTCCAGCTCGGCGTTCACCACCATCCCGTTGGCACACTTCACCTCCGCCATGCTCCTTCGTCTGCGGCCAGGCTCGGTCAGGGATGGCGGCTGTGTGCAGGCTGCATCCTTCTGTCAGCTGAGGGAATATTGATGTGAACGCCGGGCTCCCTCCCACCAATGCTACGAGAGAGAAAGAGAGAGAGAGGGGGGTACACACAATGGAACAAAGAGGAGCCAGGCTCTGGGGGCTGCTGATCAGCAGACCTCTAGTGATGTCCACTTCATAAACAAATCGTTCTTTTCAGTGAACTGGCTGAGTCGATTCATCAGACTGAACTGATTCATTTGAATCAATAGGACAGCAGGTCTGGTAATATAATCCTAGAGTAAGAGAGGTTGGCTTCTGCCAGCCCCTCCCTGCAACCAATCAGCCAGCTAACAGAACACTGACATCTACTACAGGCACACATTTTATTGTTTGTTTTTACATTTTACTAAAGTTGTTTTTACACCATGGGGGTGCTCCTTTTCTGTTAGATTGTATGCCTATGTCATGCGCCTCTCCCCCTCTGCTGCAGTGGTCTTAAGTCCAGTGAGTCATCATGTTCTATACACCATGTATAGGATGAGAGGACACTAAGGGACATATTCCATCACTGCAGCGGAGGAGAGGAGGTGAATGGAGCACCGTCACAGCCGGCCATCTCCGAGGATTGGGCGAGTATAACTTTTTTATTTATGACCCTAGGCAAAAACAAGCACGTATCCCTTGCAGT